GCCTGACGCGGCTGCTCTGCTGTCCACTCTCCCGCACCGGAAGACTTACAGTTCCACAGGCCTCCTGCTGTAGTCAGGATGGGCCGGAAAGTGACCGTGGCCACCTGCGCGCTGAACCAGTGGGCCCTGGACTTCGAGGGGAATTTGCAAAGGATTTTAAAGAGTGAGTCCGGGACAGCGGTGGGGGGGCGGGGCAAAGGTCGCCTCTGGCCGGCCTGGCACGCTTGCAGCAAACGCAGGGCTTGGCCTTGGAGAAACTGGCAGCTGGGGGCGTGGGGACAGATAATAGATACCGGCCACGCCCGTGTGAGTGCCCAGGCCGCCTTCTTCCGAATGGTTACAGTGCCCGGGGTCACTTGCCGTGTACGCTGGGTTAGAGAGCTGGCTGTGGAGGTGGAGTCGGGAAGGTTGGGGGTGTCCCTGTCCTCAGATACCTCTGGGGTCTCATGTGTCCTATCTAGAGCCGAGCTGCCCTTCCTCAGAAGTGTTCAAGGGGAGAGGGTGGCCTAGCCACCGGTGAGGACGTGGTGAGGCGCCCCGCAGTGGTGGTCTCGGTTACCTGAGAACCTTCCCGGGGTTCGGGCACTGGGAGAGGCTGGCCGAGAGGAGCGACCTGGGATGAGGGTGAGCCCGCAAGCTTAGAAACCTGGGTGCATTGTGGGAGCGCCATGCAGTCGCTGCTGGCACCGGCTCACGTCTGAGAGTGAGCGTATGCACCATTCCTTCCTACCCCTAAGGCGGGCCTGCCCTCCCAGCCCTGCAGGTGTGGCCACCCCACCTGTGCTCAGCTGCTCACTGCAGGAGGGCCCACCCCACCTGTGCTCAGCTGCTCACTGCAGGAGGGCCCACCCCACCTGTGCTCAGCTGCTCACTGGAGGAGGACGGGCGAGAGCCACATAAGCAGAATAGTTCCCCTGCGGACATCTTATCAGCCAGGTGCCTTGGCCCTTCATCTGTTTTTTTTTTTTTTTTTCAATATCCTGCCTGCGGCTCACCAGAGCTCTGAGCGAATCTCGTTGGGGTGAAGAGAGGCATTCCGGGGCGGCGGAGGTGTCTCCCCGCAGCCGGCCTCCTCCTCCAGACTGCACCCGGGAGCTGCTGCCCAGCCCTAGAGGCTGATGGCACCTGCCGCCTGCTGCCAGGGCGTGACCTCTGCCGTGGTGCCGAGGGTCAGGCCCTGCCCGGCTCCCGCCTCCCGCAGGTGTGAGCAGGGTGATGCCGTCCTCGGCGGCCCCGTGGAGAGCTTTGTCTGGTGTGGTTTTTATCACACAGAGCACATCGAACATCTTATCTGCCTTTGAACACGTCCCGGGTGCTGAACTGGCCCCTCTCTCTCCCTCTCTGTACTGCAGGCATCGAGATTGCCAAACAGAAGGGAGCGAAATACAGACTTGGACCGGAACTGGAGATATGGTGAGAGCCGCGCCTGCAGACGGCCCGGGGCGGGCAGGGAGGTGTGCGTCAGTCCCGCGGCCCTTTGGGGACAGCAGGGTGGCAGCCCACGGAGGAGACCGCGGAAACCCCTGACCAGCAGCAGGCCCTGCGAGGCCAGGTGCCCGAGAGTCCTCTGTGGGCCGACTGCGGGGGCCGGAGGGGGCGCTGAGAAAAGCGGGCAGCTTCTCTGGAACCACTGCCCGCCCCAGGCCATCACGCGGCCATCAGCGGGTTTCGGGGTCGGTCTCAGCGCCTCTCCGTAAGCTAAGCCAGCACAGCGCTCACTTCAGCTCTGCCTTTTCGGGGTGCCCGGCCGCTGATTCCCTGATTTCTTTCTCATCCCTTGTTCAAAACTGACCGATTGGTTGCCAAGCCAAGCCTCTCACGGGCTGCGGTCAGTTCCTTTGTGACTGTGGGTGCCGGCCAGCGGCCCCGTGCCTCCGTCGAACCCCGGGCCTCGGAAGGCCCCCTTCCTGGACTCTGTAAGCGGGCCCTGCCCTCTCCGCTTGTGGCTCCGTTGACACCCTCATTTACTTCATCCCGACCGGCAGGGCCTGGGGACCCTGGCGCCCAGGGCTGGAGGCTTCACGACCTCTGCCCCCGAGCTCGGGCTTCATCCCTGCCTTCCGTCTGCTCCTTCCCCCTGAGGGGTTGTAGCCCCCAGCCCGGTCCCCCTCGCATAGTCGCCGTCCAGAGGCGCTTAGAGGTTGGGGCTCACCCCTTTCTTCGTCCTGTTCTTTTTCTCTCCCCTCCCCCGAATCTGGATGGGTCATCTTAAAAGGAGGAAATTTTAATTCGAGGGTCCCCGGATGGTATATTCACATCGGGCAGGGCCGAGGGCCCCACCGAGCTGGGATCCCATTAATTATTTCCAGCAACCTACAGAGAGGAAACAGGCAGGAGAGGAGCCAGGTCACTCCCCAGGCACAGCGTCTTCCTGTCCCCGCGTCAGTCCAGCTCCCCGCCCCCCAGAAGAGGCACCTGGGAGCTGCCAGAGAGCGAGAACCCACAAAGCAGGGGTCCATTGGAGAGGAAGGAACACCCCAGGTCTCCCCGTCACGGGGCACCTCCTTGACCCCGTTTTTACCTGAGACGCGGGCTTTTCCGCCTCAGAGCCGGCACCCGGCAGGCGGTGGCGGATGCCGGCTTCGGCGTTGCCTTCGTGCCTGCCGTTTATCCGCGTCTGCAACGTGCCCCGCAGGCTGCGTGGTAGAAAGGAAAGCTTTCTGAAGATTTAGAATTAGTCGACAAAAAGCTGCGTTTCGTCACGCAGCAGCCCGGTCTTCGCGTTTGCTGGCGTCCTGGCGCGTTGCGGTCATTTTCCGGGGCGCCGTGACCAAGTTCCACAACCCAGAGACCAGAATCGGGGTGTCGCAGGGCAGGGCCGTGCAGCCTCTCGGCTCCCGGCTCGCGGCTCCGTGCCTTGTGGCCCCTGCTCGGTCTTCGCTGCCTCCCGCTCCTCCCCGCGTGTCCTCTGTGTCTTACGAGGACGCCTGTCACTGCGTTTAGCACCTGCCCACGTCACCCAAGGTCATCTCATCTCCAGACCCTGGATTTAATTACATCTGGAAAGACCCTTTTTCCACACGAGGTCATTCTCACCAGTTCTGCGGCTAGGACAAGGATGTGGCTTCTGGGGGACCCCGTTCGGCCCGCCACGAGCTGGGCGAGTGGTGTTTTCAGGCGGTTAATGCTCTCCCTGCCTGAGGAATGTTTTTCTGTAGATCAGGGTGCTTTTGGCCACATTGACACTTAAAATAATCCACAGGCAGACAGACGCTTCTTGACACAAGAAAGAATGTGTCATAGCAACTTAACACCAGGAGAAAGAGACAGGGGCCCGGTGTCTTCATTTCCGACGAAATGCACTATTTTCGTAGTGACCCTAACTCTGGCCACATGCAGAATCTCATGGGAGGCGTTCGGGAGATCCCAGGGCCTGGGTGGTACCCGGGCACGGCCGGCTCGACTGGCTCCCGCCGTACCCCGGGCTCACCCTCTGCTCCCCACCTCTGCAGCGGCTATGGCTGTTGGGACCACTACCACGAGTCAGACACCCTCCTGCACTCCCTGCAAGTCCTGGCTGCCCTCCTGGCATCTCCGGTCACTCAGGACATCATCTGCGACGTGGGGATGTAAGTGCCAAGGCGAGCAGCGAACAGGCGGGCTCTGCAAGGGAGGGGGGTGGTCTGAGGACGTGGCGCGTCCTGCAGCATCTGACTTCCGGGGTGTGAAATCTGCACATCGCAGAGGATGCGCGAGGCCCCCTGCCGAAAAGGGGGTTTGGTCCCCCCCAGCCCCACAGACGCCTCATCCCCTTCCAGTGGAGGCGGCTCTTGGAAGCAGTCTTCGTGTGGTCTTCCAAGAGTGCCCACGCACGTGCAAACACGCTTTGCACAAGTGGGAGCCCCGCGTCCACCCTGTCACACGTACGGCACCTTCTGCACTCAGTGGTCAGGCTGGGGTGGCTGCACGTCACTCCATGTCCACCTGCCGACCGTATAGTCCCAGGGGAGTGTGTTTCCTGGGTGCAGACGTAGGGGTGCAGCTTCCCAGCAGCGGGTCGTGGTTTAGGCGCCTGGGTGTGGCTGTCACAGGTGTGAGGTGATACGGTGTAGGCACACATGGGTTGAGTTCTGTAGGTATAGGTAGGTAGGTAGGTGGGTGGATAGTGTTCAAGAGGCTTCCTCCAGTGATCAATCAGCAATTTAAATAAAACTGCAGATCCGTTTTATTTAAAATGTTCACCACGTGCTCGTCACACGTTTTGTACAAACGTGGACACAAGCATGTTTGGTTTCGGCTCAGAGGAGGGATAGGGACGGGGGGGGCGGTGACTCGGGGTGGCCAGGGCGGGGGAGGGGCTGCCCCGGCTGCATCCTGCCCTGGACTCCCCACCGAGGGCAGAGCGGAGGTCAGCGTGAGTCGGCGCCAGGCGGCGTTGGGGACCCCGCCACCCGACTCAGGGGCCCACGCTGTCAACACTCGCCTTATTTCCTCTGCGCATCGCTGGCATTTATGTACCAGCCCCACCCATTTTCAGCCGGCAGCCCGTCCCACCGTCCTCTTGTAAGGCGCCCCCTGTCTCCCTGGTGCCCACTGCGCTAGCGCTGGGTGCCCACGCGGTCCCCCTGGGCCGGCCTCAGCCACCTGGCCTTTCCAGCGTGGCCTGTCTCATGCAGAGGGGGTCGGTGTCGGGTGGCTAGAGAGGGGACGTGGAGCACAGGGTCTGCCCTGAGGATGAACAGATCTGCCCCGCAGCCAGCGTTCTAGAAGGGGCTCTGCGGGGACAGGGCTCCGGGGGAGAATTGGCAAGGCACGGGGGCTGTGCACAGGGCCAGTAGGGGACGGAGAGGTGACCCCGCAGCAGGACGTGAGCACAGGGACGGATGTGGCCCCTGGGAGGTCTGGAAGCGGGGAGCAGCCCTGAGCGGGACGGCTCTGCGCTCGGCCGAGGAGACCCCATGTCGTGATGGTCACGCGGGAGCTCCTCGCTCGTTTTTACCTGCAATCTGAGACGGTGGCAGAGCAGCCTGCTGGTTCTCGCGAGGGACCCCAGGACGTGTCGTGACAGACGCGTGCGTCCCCTCTCCCGGCAGGCCCGTGATGCATCGAGATGTCCGCTACAACTGCAGGGTGCTGTTCCTCAACAGGTAGGTGGCCACCGGGGACACAGTGGCCCCTGCGTCCCTCCCAGGCCCTGGGGGCTGTGGGCGCCCATGCTGGCCCCCGTGACATGGCCCTTGAGGGGCTGCTTCTGGCAACGCCCAGTCCTTAGTGGTGGCTGGGGCACCTGGCAAGTGACACGGTGCCCCTGCTCCTGCCGGTCCCTGCCGCCACGGACACGGGCACCCGTGGGCTTAGAGAGAGAGAGGCCACAGGGTGGGGTTTAGGAACACGCGGCCCTGTGGCCGAGAGGTCAGTCGAGGGAGGGTGGCCTCGTGACATCCTCCTCGCAGACCCGCGGAGCGCACACCTGCCAGGTCTCAGCTGCTCTGTCATCGTCCACTGTCGGGCAGACGGACGTGTGGGCTGCTTCCTGTCCACCGGCCGTGTCCACCTCAGGGACACTCTTGCCCCTCTGCCCATAGGAAGATCTTGCTCATCAGACCCAAGATGGCCTTGGCAAATGAAGGCAACTACCAGGAGCTGCGCTGGTTCACGCCGTGGTCCAGGAGCCGGTGAGTCCCCGTCCCCGTCAGCACGACCGTGACCTTCCCTGGGGTGTTCATGTGACCGCTCCTTGGCTGTTCGTTCCACATCTTCCCAGACGTAGCCTCGGTCCCCGTCGTCGGGGAGACACACAGAATTCGGGGCGAAGTCCCTGCCCCTGGAGCCCGTCATTTAGATAGGGCCGCTTCGCCGCTGCCGGTTAAATTCCCTCCAGCCAGTCACAGGCCGCGTGGAACTGTCAGTCACCCATCCCGATCACCTGTCACGTCACGTCTGGGATGACGCTATGGATCCGGGTTCCCCGCCTCCAGCCCTGTTGCTCTGGGGCTGGGTCGTTCTTGTCGTGGGCTGCATTGGACGTGCACAGGTGCGTCTAACGCAACCCGGGCCTCCAGCTAACGGACACGTCCGTTTGTGACAACCACAAACGTCTCCAGCCGCGACCACACATCCCCTGGGGGCAAAACCACCCCCGGTGAGCGGCCCCGCCCCGCGTTCCTACTGTGCTCGTTCCTGCCGATGCTGCTGCTGTGGTCAGTGGGATCTTTATGTTTTTAATGGTTCGTATTTTTATG